AAGATTCACCACTTGTCATAAGGTTTTAGTGGGCGAGTGTTTCTTAATTTGTATCTCGTAGTTGTAAGTTAGTATAGTAAGCGAGCAATCATATTAATATTTGGGTTTAGTAATAAACATTAAGCTTGAATTTGAGATGAGTGTCATGACCAAAAGGGAGGAAATATGAGAGTGATGATATTAGGTAGTTTTGATATAGAGTAGGTGGGGAGTTAAGAGGTTAGTTACAATGAAGGTGAGTGGTACAAGTATGGGATTCTAACTTTGAGGTAAGAGTAGTGAAGTGTGGCTAAGTCATTAGAGTAGTAACAAGAGCATTAAGAGGTGTACCTGAGGTTATATGTAACCAGATGAGGTTCTAATTAAGTTTATTGTTTTCCATGTATTGCCTAGATAACATAATAGAGTTGTCAATGTGGAGTAGGTTGATGTAAGCATTAATTATCACCCTTAAGAGTTTGGTAGAAAGGATTTTATATAGTCAGTGAAGAGCCTATTAAATATTGTGGCCTTATAAGCTAATGAGAAGAGATTAAGAGAAACATCTTAGAAAGAGGTCTTATATGGAGTCTTATTACCTGCATATGGAGAGTTCAGTATCCATGAGATAAGCCTTTTCCGAGTATTTGAGTAAAGGGAATGTAGATCAGTTTAGAGATAATGGAATTGATCTATAGCCTTCAAGTGTCGGCTTTAGACCTAATGGGGAGATGATGAGATGAAAAACCAAGTCAAGTGGGGAGAATCATATAGTGATGTCTTCAGAAAGAGTTTAAGTGATGTATCAATCCATTCCTAATCTTGCGTATTCCTCAAGTCCAGTTATTACAAACATCAAGTTGATATTCCTAATATTAGAATTGTGTCTATGACCTATGCTCATACATTTCAGAGAAATTCACATCGATGCTCAGTTCACATAATGAGGGGCAGAAACTTTAGCCCATTGATCTCAATCTTACTCCATAAAGCTATGAATATCAGCTTCATGATATGAACCTACTCATATAAGCACTCGTATCCCATAGTATTCTCAGTTTTGTGAATCCGTGATTTACTCTCAATGGCTAGCAACATAATGTTATGTCATGCATATTCTTATAACAGATTTCTTGAATGAATCATGCTTATGATATTTTTCCCTAAAGCTCATTTAGTGATCCTTTTTAGCTTTGAGAGTGTTGTTGATGATTGTAGTTGTGTGATGATAGAGAATAGGACTGCGATTTCTTATTGTGATAGTAATGGTGTGTTTATTCCACCTAAGGTTATAAATGTGGAGGAAGAAGGAGATAAAGTTTTACGATGAGTAATAAGTCATTTCCTGGAGTGATGCATGAAAGTTGAGTTTGGCAGAAGTGACGTGAGAATGAGGAATTCTCATAAGGAGTGGTTAGTAGGAGTCATGGAGTTGTTATAGTATTAGTCTTGAATGTGGTGTTGGTATCGTGTGGATGAAGGCATGATGCATTAGGTGGTTCTTAATTAAGACTCGAGATTGGTTGGATGTAGTGGTAAGGAGTAGTGTTCTTGAGATGAGATTTCCTAAAGAGGTATAGAACCTGAATCTTGTGATTTAGATCAGAATAATCATCTTGTGTTAAGTACTTTGTGATTTTGAGTTAGGCTTGAATATAGTAAGAGTACACTCTTTCCATTCTCAATCCAGCCGTCATTCGAGGACGAATGATTCCAAGGGGGAGATATTGCAACACCCCAAAAATTTCTAAGTTAAGACCCAAACTATTTTTCATATACATATAAGGTCATATCGGGTGATTCTTAAATTGCCCATATGTTTAAAGTTAAATTATTTTTGTGAGAATGATTTTGGATATCAATTAAGGTCACTAGAATCTCCCAGAACAAAGTTGAGTTGAAAGTTTCCTTACCGATTAAGTTTTGATGTAAGATTCTACATGGGTCAACTTCAAATGACCATATCTCTTAGAATATAACGAGTTACGTCGCCCATAACATATCAAATTAAAGGTATTTGAATCTTCTTTCCAACGCCACAAATTTCGCAATAATCTGAGGTTTGAGTAAAAAGTTATGACCATTTTAGTAACTTGATACAGTGCAGTGATGAATTAGCCGACGGGAAAACATTAAAAAGGGTCCTTTTTGTTTTTTTACCTCTAAGAAAACCCTAAACGAATTTTTCGACTAATTACAGACCCAAACAATCAGATTTTCATCTCTCAATACATCATTCTCTTCTCTCTCAAACCTTAAGACAAAACCCTAAGGAAAAATCAAAGTAGAAGACTCCATTCAAGATTCTTTCAATCTTTTTCAAGATTCTTCTTCAATGTAAGTCCTTCTCTAAGAATTTCATTCGTTCCAACTCAAATTCCTCCATACAATTATGAATCACTAATGAAAATCATAATTCTTGGCCATAGAGATTTCAAGAAAGTATCATCCATTTGATTGTATTTGCTTTGTCTGTACGGAGTTGTTGTTGGCTATTGTTTGGTCCAACAATGTATTTGTACGGAGAGCATTTCCTTATAACACTTGGGATCCTTTAATTTGTTTGCTCAAAGTAATGGTAGTTTTCATCATGTTGGCATGTATATGCTTGGTGGACTATCAGTGAGATGCAATCCTAAGTGTATCCGAAACTATATATTATATTGTTATTTCACAATTGTAAAGCATAAATTTATTTCAACATGGTCACGAAAAATATGATTGCTGAATCTGTAAAAAAAAATTATGAAGTAAGTGAGATTTCATTAAGGCATCCAGTAGATGCAAAGGTACAAAAGGGAGATTTGAATCTGGGATTTTAGTTTCAAATTTATATGTTAAGAAGTAATTGCATTTAAAAAAAAAAAAAAATCAAAGTTGACTTTAAATTTTTTGCTCAAAGTAATGGTAGTTTTCATCATGATGACATGAATATGCTTGGTGGACTATCAGTGAGATGCACTCCTAAGTGTATCCGAAACTATATATTATATTGGATTGAGTATGTTGTCTCAACAAGTTAACCTATGGAAACTTCTTATTTCTTGCAAAGTCGTTTTTTGCTTAATCTGATCTATCAAGTATCAACACTTCTATATAAATTGACGATACTAACTACATCACTGAATCTTAATGTATATTAAGTTCATTGACGTTTTTTTTCAATGAAGATGGACTACTACTTACAACTTGTGGAATACCAAATTATGTGAGTTGTTCCTAATTTTCAAAAAGACACCTGAAGTTTGCGAGTTTCCTATTACCCCACGAAACTATCTAAATCCACAATAAATATACCTTTTTGACTAATTTTAACACCACTCGTGTTGTCACGAAATATGGGAGCGTGAAGGACTCTTGATACAGCTTTAGACCAACGTAAAATTGTCATGTGGCACTCCCAATTTGACTTATTTTGGAAAAAATATAAAAACCCATGTATTATTTTTTTTAACTTTATTAGGAATAGTTTTTAATTTTTCAAATGTTTTTTCTCATCTTCCCTACCATCATTAGCTTACCCATATTTCTTGAGCATCCATGGCTTCCTTCTATTTTTTTTCTTTTTCTCTTTTTCCTTTTTGGTCTTTGTTTTTTTAAAACTAATGTTATTGTGTTCATTCTTATTACATTTTAAAAAAAAAAACAAATTAGTTTAGTGATTTTTTTCCTCCTACAAATCAAGATTGAGATTTGGGAGTAGTTAAACTATGGGAAACTCGATTTAGGAGTAAGAAGTTGGAGAAGGTGGTGATTTAAATGTCAGATTTTGACTTGGTGATATTTTGAGTATTTAGATTTTGATTATTTGACGGTGTTTATTTTCATAAATAAATTAATTGGTGGTAGTTTGACAAATAATTGGTAGGGTTGCCGCAAAATTCGCCCCGCCACAGCGGATTTGGCGATTGTTGCAGCAGGAAGGGAATGGCAAAAGAACAGAGTTGAGGCGAAGAAGAAATTAAGAGAAATAGAAGAAAAAAAAAACAAAGAAATCAGATAAAAATATTTTAAAATTATTTTTAACACGTGGCAAGTGACTATTAGTGCGTAACATACAAATATTTTTGTCTAAGTGGTATTGGATGAAAAATGGGGTATACATACTATTTTGAAGTTGTTCAATGGGGTAATAGGACACCCGCAAAGTTAAGGTGTCTTTTTGAAAATTTGGGACAACTTCAATGGTGACTTTATGTCTTTTCTCTTAGTTTGTCCTATAAGTTATTTTATTTCATATCCTCACATCAATAACATTCATTTTTGTAATGGAATCATATTTCACTAAATGCAATAGAATTACATTTCACTAAATTGTCTTAGATATATTTGTACTTTTAAATAATTATTAATTTATAATACTAATGGGACTATATATTTGTACATGGAATTTTCCAATCACTTTGAAGATGATGAAAAAAATAAGATCTTCTATGATGAGCTTGAACTTAAGCAAGGGGAGATGGAAGTGGTTGTGCAAGGTCTGTTTGGAGAGTTCTACTACTACAAAAGTTAAGCTCACACATCTTGTGGAGTACAACTACATACTCTTTTATTATTTGCTCCAATATTTCTTGAATTTTGATTGAGATTGTAACAAAATTTGCTTTTGTAGTAATGTTAGTTACTTGATAATGTATTAATTTTGGACTATGTAGCATAGAATAAATGATCAGTACTTAAAGAATATTGACGAGTGTGCTTTACAAGTAGATTTTTTAGTGCACTTTCAATATCTATGCAACAAAATATTTGATTGGAGTAACATGTAAGTGGTGGATACACAAGTTCACTTATAGTGTAATTATTTTATCGAAAGGATTTGGGTGAATATTCTTCTGCCTCAATGTACATACTTAGTTGAATTGAGATGTGCATAAATTGATTCGAACACCAAGATAATTTTTCTTTAATATAACATTTGCATTATATAATAAAGTTTGCATATTACATTTTGTGCTTCATATCCAACGTAACAAAAACATTCTATTTTTTTATCACTACATCTAAATTTAATTATTTTATTGTATATAAGCAACAACAACAGTAATATCATCAATTTTTCCTCCTTTATGTCGTCCCTCAGATGCTCTAGCATATGGTGTATCTGCAAATCTATCAAATGAATTATACAAATCAATGTTCCCAATTTGACTAGCCAACTCCTCTGCCTTCAACTTCTGGTCTATTGCTCTTTCAACCAGTTCCTCTATCTCACTTTCAAATATATTATCAAGCATCTCATCCGTCCCAACCATTAAAATATCATCTTTCTCAATGTTTAATTCCATCTCCTGAGCAACACTAGGATTATCTGAATTGCAGTTTCCCAATTGATACGGACATCCAAATCCTCGTTGTTGTATTGGCGACTTGTATGTAATTTTTCCTTTTCTGATTAGTAAAAATCCACTATCACCAACATTAGCAGCAACTATAGTATTTTTCACCGAGTTAAGAGTTATAATACAAGTTGTGGACGATCCTTTTGAATTTGTGTTTTTGTATGCTTCTTCAAGAACCCTTTTAGGGTTCACATGATCACCTTTCATTGCTTCACCTCTCTCGCGTATATTCCAGCGTCAATCCCTTGTAGTGCCCAGCCACCAACACCATCAGCAACACCAATAGTTTGGTATAGTTCATGCATGGAGTGTGCATCTTCACCTAAAGGCTTGTTTGGATTGTCTTTAGGTAAGTATAAAGATCCAACCACCATTTTTAGGCATGGTAACTTGTTACTACTAAATTCATCATCATGACTAAATTTGAGTTTCTTGTTACTATGATTTTCCGGATTATCATAATTAATTTCATGAGAAGAGAAGTCGAAATATCTCTTATAGTGTGACAAGCTGAAAAGTTTATCGAATTTTATTTTGGAAGAATATTGATCATGACCTAATGATGAAATACATGCAGCCATTGTTGTGTTGATTGAAAAACTTTGGGAAGTAAAAATTATGTAATGGAAGTAGGGTTATAACTAATATATATACATATACATACATTACGTTGCAATTCTATGTAGAATAGGTTATGGAAAAACAAATTTTGGTAACTTTTTAATATGGAAAATTTAGAAAATAACCTGTAGTAATTAATTTAATCCTACTTAGAAGTTAGAACAGGTTTGGGAAACAAAGTTATATTTTTGGAAATTATCTAAGTGAGATGTTATGGAAAAACAACTTTTGGTAACTTTTTAATATGGAATATTTAGAAAATAGCATATAGTAATTAAATCATACTTAGAATAGGTTTGGGGAACAACGTTTTTGGAAATTGTCTAAACAACTAGAAGAAGGTAATCCTCCTGCGTAAGGGAGTGAAAAGAAAGTGAGATTTAATCTCAACATAAATTTGCAAATAAGAACATTGTTGTGCTCTCTAATTATCATTCCGTTTGTTATATTGCCATGAAAACTCTTATTATCATATATAAATGGGAAAAAGGTCAAAAATGTTGCTCAACTACGCGAAATAGATCATTTATACCTTTTGTTACATTTTGGCATAAAAAATGCTTCCGCCGTTATCCTAAGAGACTACAAATATCCTCAAGAGTTCACAACCCAATTTTTAGTAATGTGGAATGCCACATAGGAATAATCACTCCACCTAAGCTGGAATAACTAGGATTTTAGCGGCAGCAAAAGTCACCACAAAAGCCCAAAATATTGTCACTAAAGATTTTCACTTATTTTTAACGTTAAATTATGATTTTGTGTTTTTTCTTCATTGTTTTTAAAAAATCACAAATGATATCGATCAAGGTGAAGTTTGAAGACACTATATATTTTATTTTTATGACATATGTAAAAGCATAAAATTTACAATAATGCATAATGTAGTGGGAGATTTGAGTCGAAAAGTAATTTTGATGATTTTCGTAATAATATTGGATGTTTTTAATATTGATAGTATATGTTATTTATTTTAGAAAATTAGGTTGCAACCTAAAATTAATAATCTTTTTTTTTTTTTTGAAAAAAATAGATTTTACTAGCGAATGATTATTGCAGCCTTAGTCGCCACTAAAAATAGATTTATGGCTGATGTGAGTGTTGTTCTCTCCCAAACATGGTAATCTGAATTCAGTTACTAATGCTTTGAGGGCTCATCTTCTTCACACTGAAATCTAACTCAAAAGCTTGTGTGAGCTTATTCATTTATTCTTGCACACTTTCCTTTACAGTTGCTCAATTGAAGAACACGTTAAACTAGATACATGACCCCGTGCTGGCACGGGCTTACCCAATATATGTAATCTTTTTTATTTTAATTTATGTGATACTCCGTTTGTCTCATATTAATTGATTACTTTTTATTTTGCACGATACGTAAGAAATTATAAATAAGAAAACGGAAAAGGGTCAAAATTGCCCCTGAACTATGAGATATAGACCACTTATACCCTCCGTTACATTTTAGGATCAAAAATGCCCCTGCCGTTATCCTAAGAGACCACAATTACCCTTAAGACTTAACATAAATGGTTTGGCAAGCCACATGGCACTAATTCCGCCACATAGGCTTGCCAACTAGGATACCCACTAAAAATTTTAACCCAATTAATAATTCAACCCTAACTCATTTTTGCTAGATCCAGCCCACTCAAATTAGGAGGGAAACATCATCTTTTTCACCTCAATGTTTTCACTATTCAATTCACCACATAGAGGAGAATTTTTTGAAGAACATCTTTGCATTCAAATAAACAGTAGTACTGCATCTTTGCAGCAAGAAATCGACCCAAATTTGATACATCTTTGCATCTTTGCAGCAAGAATCTCTAGAGTATCGTAATAGTCAAGAATGTCCAATTTTAAATTCGAATTTGTTAACTTGTGACCCAAATTTTATACATGTAGCCATGACTCTTGATGTCAAAGGATCAGTAGAAGCAGTTCACTCTGTTCTCAAGCATTCATCTTGCCCAGAAAATGTTTATTTCCATTTTGTGGCTTCGAAGAATAAGGATTTTCAAGACCTGAGAAGATGGTGAAGTCCATATTTCCATCTCTGAGTTTCAAAGTTTACAGCTTTAATGAATTTCGAGTGAAGAAATTGATATCATCTTCGATTCGTCAAGCCCTTGATAATCCATTGAACTATACTAGGATTTATTTAGCTGAGATCATCCAGCCCTGTGTTGAAAGGGTAATTTATCTTGATTCTGATGTTGTTTTGGTTGGTGACATCCAAAAGTTATGGTCGATTTCTTTAACTGGTTCGAAAATTATTGGAGCTCCAGAGTACTATCAAGCAAATTTCTTTAGAACATACCTAGTTCGAAAACTAGGATGCAAAGATGTTCTTCAAAGAATTCTCCTCTATGTGGTGAATTGAATAGTGAAAACGATTTAGGTGAAAAAGATGATGTTTCCCTCCTAATTTGAGTGGACTGGGTCTAGCAAAAATGGGTTAGGGTTGAATTATTAAGAGCAACTTTCACATATAACAAACAAAAAAATCATATTTGTATGTTATAGCAAAGTTTGCATAATTATGCTCCATAGCAAACATATATATGTATAATTCGCTATACATATACAATTGAAAGTTGTCTATTTCGTTATACATATATACGAAAAGAAGCAATTGTATAATTCGTTGGCTCCTCTTCAGATTTGTATAATTTCGCTGGCAGGCCATTTGTATAAATTGTTGTTAGCCTCTTGTTTGTATAAATCGTTGACAAAAATATTTGTATATCAAAAATCGCTCTCTCTTTCGCTTTATACAAACATAAATTATACATTATACAAACATAAAACTGGGCAGGGGAATATTTTTATTGTATAATTATAAGTGTATA